TGAATGGCAGATGAATGGAACTGAATTAAAATAGACCTTCACCCCACCTAAAACAACCATGTAACCAATCTGAAGACAGACTCTGCAACCAAAAGAATCAGACAAAAAAAAAAAGGTTAGATTATTCTAAAGAAGGAGATTATCTGGCCATTTTTTATGTCCTGGATTTTTATGCCCATTGTTTTTTTGAGGTTTTAGTAACGGTCTTAAGTGTTCCAAATTAAGTCTAGACGGAGTGTTCTGAATTGCCAGAAACAAAAAGAAATCCACACATCTTAATCACTGACTATCCTTTGCCTGAATGGCATGTCTTTCCCTTTGTTTTTCCTGAGAGTAGAGCTTAATATCTGGTCCTGTTTTTAGTTTGCTGATCACGCCTATAGTGGAAATACCCCCATGTCGATTTACCATTGGCTTTCCCTCCACCAGAAAACAACAACAACAAAAAAGCAAACAAGCCCCACAAAAACTGGTATGGATGTAGATCAAATAAGGAAATGGCAGAGACTTCCAAGGTGAGGTAACAAAAGTAAGTTACCTACGACTCCATTTCTTAGGGTGTGAGCATGTGAAAAGCGAGACCATTAAGGAAATCTTTCTCCCTAGCAGTATTTCTTGGAGTGGACCTGAGGCCACCTGCACAAGCTCACCCCCAACTGTGTACAGTGAAGTATGTGTGCGTGGGGGGGGGGGGTGAGGTGGGGGGGGTGGAGACTCTCTCTGGAGGCGCTCCTCTGGAATTCTGATTTGGTGGGTATGGGGCAGGACCTTGGTAGAAATGTGTTCTTAACAAGCTCTCCTGGTGATTCTTATGCACAATACAGTTTGAGAAGCAACGGGATTTGGCAGTTAACTATGTAACAGACCTTCAAGTTGGAAGGTCAAGTAGGAAGGGGATACTCATGCATCAGATATAAAAAACTAAAAAAAGGAGCCTCTGTTTCCTGAAAAACTCACAGTTGAGCTTGCCACTGCAGTAATATGCCCCCAACCTCGGCCACCCAAATGCCAGAGCTCCCTCCCCATAACACCACCTACTTTTCCAGGTACCTTGGGCCGAGGACAGGAACGTCTATGTCATGCTGTTTCCACATCACACGTCGGGCAAGGGAATAAGATGATATTTAATACTGTCCCATTTAAAATAAGGAGGGACAGGCTTAAGCGCCCGACTTCGGCTCAGGTCAGATCTCACGGTTCGTGAGTTCGAGCCCTGTGTCAGGCTCTGTGCTGAGAGCTCAGAGCCTAAGCCTGCTTCGAAAACTGTGTGTCCCTCTCTCTGTTCCCCTCCCCCATTCACACTCTCTCTCTCTCTCAAAAATAAACATTAAAAAAATTAAAGTAAAATAAGGAAGGGCATGCAAGTGTCCTCCTCTTTGAAAGGGAGGGGGGGGCGCCTGGGTGGCTCAGTCGATTAAGTGTCTGACTTCGGCTCAGGTCATGATCTCACTGTTTGCGGGTTTGAGCCCCACGCTGGACTCCGTACTAACAGCTAAGAGTCTGGAGCCTGCTTCGGATTCTGTGTCTCCCCCTCTCTCTGCCCCTCCCATGCTCATGCTCTGTCTCTCTCTCGTCTCTCAGTAATAAATAAACGTTAAAAAAAAAAAAAAAAGAAAAAAAGAAAGGGAGAGATCCCCAGGGGATAATGTACCCAGCATAGATACAGGGGGATGCTGAGGGAACCAAGGGATCCACAGAAGGACAGATGCAGTGTGCTGACTTCCTTATCCCAGGCAGCTCAAACAGACACATTCTCTCAAGCTGTGGCTGTAAATGTCTTCCTTCTCAGATTAACAATGGACAACTGCAGATTTTCTTTCCATCCCCAGTCCCCATAAGAGGCAATGCAATTGGGAAAATCAACTAGATAAATGTGGCCTGGAGTTGGCTGTCCCTCAGAGCTAGGACTAACACAGAGCTGAAGACTGTCCTCAAACACCTGGATTGCTCTCGATGGTTGCCAACTACTCTGGGATTCAGATGAGGCCTGGGGAAGGAACAGAACATAGGGCTCAAACTGGGCTGGCTTTCATGTTGACTGTGCCCTTGAATCCAGAGCTGGGCGCAGAAAGGCACTATAAGGACCCGAAGCAAGCTTTTTGGCCAAAGTGACCCTGAGGAGGAAGAGGTCAGCCTGCTCAGAATTTTGGTTAACAGTCATCTAAGGGCCAAAGAAAAGGAGTCACATCACACCCAGGTGGAGGACCTTCCAAGAGTAACGGGGGTGCAGGGGCCAGAGGTGGAAGTTGGGGAGGGGGGAGCTAAAGAGAGCCTTGGGACTGTCTGCAAAGAAGCCTTCCACGCCCACCAGATGCCCTGAGCTGGGTCCCAGGCCCCAGGTGCAGACACAAAAGCAAAGTAAACTGCAGAGACCATCTGGTGGGAAAGGGACAGGCACAAGATGCTAAGATGTGAGGACATAAAGAATCCCAAAGTCAAAGTTACTGGATCCATCAAGTTGTACTCTGACAACTTGTATGCATTGCCTTTTTTTTTAAAAAAAAAAAAAAAAAAAAAAAAAGAAAAACAACAACAACAACAACAACAACAACAACAACAACAATCAGTCCCACAACCCTGGGATCATGACCTGAGCCGAAATCAAGAGTTGGATGCTCAACCGACTGTGCCACCCAGGCACTTCTGCATTGCCTTTTGAACAGTTTTTAAAGGTCCTTTTATAAGTCGCCATGTTCACTTTCTAGTAAAGGCAAATAACACTGGTACCTGTTCGCTGAATGGCAATTTAGGGTAACTGAGTAATAAAAGCCCGAACACCAGCTATTCCTCAACCAGACCTGCGAAGGTGACAGGGCGATCACGCGGCCCAGAGCTACCCCTGGAAGAAGGGCACTTTCTAAAGAGAACATGCGTCAGCTGTCTCACCGCCGCACGTCCTTGTCCTTCAACCCTTCCCTGGGGGTTCACGCAGGGCCCTATCCCGCAGCCTCCAAGCTCAGGCCCTGCCTCCCCCTTGGCCACGGCGCGGCTCATGGTTTCCCTCTCCACGTGGCTCCAGAACAGACGGACAGACACCAGACTGCAAGCACGTGAGCAGTAGAACCGTCCCTCCCGGAACTGGCAGGGAGGCAGGGAGGCCAGGAGCGGAGGTCAGCAGAGGCTCCTCTTGGGCCGGGGAGATGGTGTGTCGGTGCATCTGGACGGAGTGGGAAAGGAACGCTTGGGGAAGGACTGGGGTAGAGCCTGAAGAGCGGCTGTGGCCCAGCCTCCTAAAGGGGAGGGCGGGCCAGGGCCCCCCCGAGACACAGCAGGGGTGGGGCCCAGAGGCCGGTGAGGCCCCACTGGATGACGAAGGGGCGGGGACACGACCTGTAGGCTCAGACCTCCCAGGGAAGGAGGTGTGAGGTTATCTGCGGAGGCCTGCAGGCTGAGGGCGGTAAACGGGGCAGGGAGAGGGCAGCCTCGGGGATGGGTGACCAGTCCGAGGGGCCCACGCGCCTCTGGCACATTTCGCAGCCTTTCTCTGTGGCCGCGAGCATCAGGGCAGAAGGGCTCAGGCACACACGAGTCTTGGGACTTCGGTTTTATGGCCTACACGGCAACCTCTTAAATGTGGGTCGGCCCACGGCTTCTCACGGCAGCTCAGCTTCACTCCTCGCCGACTTCCACCCTCGCGGGCCTGCTCACCGTCACCTCAAACACCGCCCATCACGGTCTCCCCAGAACGGACTCTCCTGCTTCCCGTTCCTTCCCGCTCCTCACACGCCGACCACGAGCTGGACAGTGAGCGAGGCACTCGGGCGTGGTGACAGTGAGCGTCACCAGGGCGCATCGTCCCAGCAAGCCCGAGGCCGGTGACCGGACTTCCCCAGCTGGTGGGCGAGGAAGTGAAGGCACGGAGAAACAAGGCAACGAGCCCACGCCACACAGCTCAGCGAGAGGGGCTATCCGGTTCAACCCCGGCTCTCTCATCCGGGGACCCACCAGAGCTGCTGTTTCCAACCTTAGCTGCTGTGCTGGGATCCCCGGAAAAGCTGTTAAAATAACATCCGTGCACGACCCCACACCCAGAGAGGCTGATTCAGCTCGTGGGGATTAGGACCCCACCCGGCTTAT